GGCTAAGTAATGTGATTTGGAGATTGTAAAAGGCCAACAATTAATCTTATTTTTACTTGTGTAAAGACTAAATAGGAAGTAAACAGTAAACAAGAGTAAACAGTAAAATAAGTATTCTTCTGAGCAACAGTCATTATTCCTATTAACATGTTTAGTTACCTTCTCAAAACAGTGTTTTAAAGTACTAAATTCTTGAGAAAACCCTGTAGAGAATATATTATTGCAAGTAATTTGGTCAAATAGGTTAATATTAGAGCATAACTTAAGGTTCAATCTACAGTCAAAAAGCATCTGCTTTCTGTGGGATACTGAGTGTTAAAAGAAGAATCGCGAAAATGCAGAATGTAAGAAAATAGGAAATCTGGGGTCTGTTCCCGATTTAAATAATACTAAGTAAATTTAAGGAAAAGTTGTAGTTACTTGGAATTTCATAGATCTTTAATGTTCGTCTTTTATTTGTAGTGACTTCATTGCAGCTGAAGGAGGAGTTGCTGGATGGAGAAGAGTATAGCTTCCTTCAAGGAGCATCTGATCAGGAAAGCAACGGATCTGCCAGTTACTACATCAAACAAGAACCATAAGGCAGCTCAGAAAAGTGAGGGGCGGACTATTGGTGATAGGAAAAGAGCCTTTCTCCAAGACTGACTGATTTTTGCTCCCACTGCGATGGTACAGTTCAGGTGACTGTACCTGGGGCACTTTGCTAACTGTAGATGAGTTAGACTCAGTTCAGAATTTTTTGGAAGGGCGGGGAAACTATTTTAGTGAAAAAGATTTTTCAATTTATTAAAAACAAAAATGGACACTTTTGTGTTGTATTTGAAGCTTTTGAAAGAATTTTTGTAATATTTTCCAGTTCAGATTTATTGTGCATTGTTAACAAGAACTGAAATTCTAATTTTTTGGTAAGATTAAAGTTTAATTAGCATGATTGTGGGAAGCGGTTGGAGGAAGATATAGTTGCAAATACAAACGAACTGTCATAACAAATGAACCTTTTTGGTACAAGTTGGGAGACTTCTAGACTCTTGTGAACTGCACTGGTCACGCCTCTGTTTTTTCTTATTATGAAAAGAAGGCATTTAAGCCCTAATTTAGAGGCATAAATTATGTGTGGAAGATAGTCCTCTAAAGCTCTACTCAGTGAGTAGCCCCAGTTGCAATGGAGCCGTCACCTGAGGAAGATTTTAACTTTCCAAGATGTTTTTATTTAGTTTAAAATACTTTTTTTTTAATACAAGATTTTTTTTTTTTTAAAAAAAAGGTTCCTTAGGGTCTAATTCAGCACCCATTAATATCAGTAGCCTTGTCTCCATTGACTGCAGCAGGCATTGGATTGGGACTATAAAGCTCTTGTCTGTACATGAATGTCTGTGGTCGTGGAACGCTTCAGCAAATGTTTACAGAGCCCTATGCCAAACTGGAACTTCAGAAAATTCCCTCATTTAGAAGATTAGTTTTAGCTATGAATTTAGACTAAAGAAGAAACAGTAACTCAGGCCTCCCTCAGTAGTAAGAAGGAACTTCTGAGTATTCTTCTGATTATTTTTTTTCCATTCAGAAAGACCTAGATGTTTCCTTACCATCTTAAATATTTCTGAGCATTCAAAACCGATGTTCCACGTGGTTTCAGGTGAGCTGAAAGGAGCCATACATTATGGATTAAAAAAAATGAGTTCAGTTCTGCACAGCCTGCAATATTCTTTTCTTGCTGCAATAGTGTAATATGGAAGTTGATACTTGAGAACAGTATGTAAATCATATACTGTCTAGTGTATAATTCGTAAACTGGATTTGCTTATTGCCTGGAATCCTTGTGTCTCACTTCAAGTATCCCGTTAGCCCCACCTGCTTAACTGTCCAGATTTTTTTTTAAAGGCAAAAGTCACGTAAAAGGGTGAAAACTACTACCACTAAAATACAAAGTATTTTAGCACGAGCCCTTAATAATTTGCATTTTCCTTCCATATTTTTAAACTTTGTATGTTTTTGTAAATGATGTCGTTCATGGAGTTGATCAGTGAAACGATTAATCAGCCCTGCAGAGCTGTGACTGGAAAAATGTGCATCAAGAGCTTTAGCTTTTACCAGTAAGGTTCATTAACTAAACTCTCAGGAATTAACTGCATATGTTCTGTAAGTGCTTCTGGGTCTTAGCAGGTGCCCTTCAGAGCAGTACAACGATCATCTGACTCTTGACCATAAATTAGGGCTTAAAAAAAGTAACACCTGTGTTCCTGCAGCCTAAGAAATGCTTTAAGGATATCAACCCACAGAACCCCAGGAGACCATTTTTGTATATTGTTGTTTGAGCTTAAAAAAAAGTGCATAGAAAGTCGAAAACCAGCAATTTGATTATTTTCTAAAATATTGCTCTAACTTTGGGTACATAGTATTGGTAATATGCACAGGTTTACCTCATTCTATGCAAGAGGGGTTAATTATGTAAAGTTTTGTATTTACTACTGGAAGTAAAAAATGTCCTGTATAGCGTAGGAATGTCTGGAATTCTTTTCTCCCTTACTGGTAAAATTTCTTAAATAATGAACCCTTTTTAACAACAGCTTCTTATATTGACAGAATCTGGTTATCAGATTATAAGTGTCTGTAACTTCAGGTGGTAATGACATTTTAGCTCTCTAAAATAGCCATAAAAGGGACTTTGTCAGGCTTGGTAGACTTCAAATACATTCTCCCAGATTCTGACCCACCCATGACGTTTCTTTTGAACAGCCTGGATTGGAGAAGTAGGATTAGAGACCATTGTAATGACACTTTGAGCCTTGATTATTTTTTCCTGTGCTCTCCATTTAACCTGCTGTAAAATCCAGCTCTGCAAGCGTTGATTTGGTTTGGTAAGTACATCACTATTGATTTTATTTTTAATGCAGCAACTTGCAGATTGTCCCAGTCAGCTGGAAGGAGGTTGGCACAATTTTGCTTTTTTTCTCTCATCAGTCAATAGCTTCTGACTTCAGTAGAAAAACTGTTGCATTAATTTGTGGTTCATAATGTGAAAATTTGGGCTGGTAATGAGCCAAGTCACTAAACCTTGGGCTTCTGTATTGCCCAGGCTCGTAGCTGATCTCTGAGTTATAGTCTTCAAATGTCAAGAGGGAAAATTAGCACTGAAGTTGAACATGCTTCCTGTGTTGGAGAATGTAAGAATCAGATTTGAAGTCTGTCAGTCTTTATAATGTTCTTTAAAAATAGGTATTTTATTCATTAAACACTAAAGTAGGTGAGTTGACTTGCATTCTCGGACACTGTGACTTCAGTAGGAGTTGCGTGTTGAGATTTATGGGTGAAATTCCTCTTGAGTTTCTGAATTCAAAATATGCCGAAATTGTGTAATTGTCAGGTACAGTGAAATCTGCCCGAAGCAAACCATGTAAGGAACTAACGGAGGTCACTTGCTTAGGAGAGGTTTAAGGAAAACCCGAGCAAAATTCTACCAGGTATTTAGAGTGGTCTCTTCAGGGTGGGCTGCCTGTCGGCTGTGGTATCCATAGTGTGGGCTTCACTGTATTTGTAAAGCATTCGTTAGCAACACGGCTCTAGGTATGTTTATCTTCCCTTTACTCTGAGCTGTGTTACTTGGCTAAGAGAGCAGCAAAGTGTTGGACATCTGAAATCTTCAATGGGGTTAAACTAATCTCAGTATTTGGCATAGCAGGTCTTTATAACCAAGAGGTAGCGCAAGTTCCGTACCGTACTTTGCAGCTACCCTCCTTTTATTGCTCAAAATCTTTCTGCTGATCTTTGATTTTTATGTTATTTTAAATACAACTCTTCAACCTTTTCCTTGCTGCATCTGAGGAAAGCTAAAGCAGTTATGGATTCCTTGTTCTACGGATACTAACACGGGTTTCAGTGTTTGTTTGTTTTTTATTGTTGTTTTATGTGATGTGAATACCCTCTCCCATCAATATTTGTACGATGGTGCTAATATATTTGGTAACAATCCTTTATTGGGAAGGGATTTTAAAAAACTGTGATTTAAACTGAATTTTTTTCCTTTTAATTTTCATATTTAAAAAGCCACAGCCATTTATACAAAAAAGGCATCAGCTTTGGCCCCTGGGAAAATGTTGGGGCGGGAATCAAGATTAAACAAATAGGGTTTTTACATCGTTTCTGTATGTATTTGATATATAGATCAATATCTGTACAAATTTAATCTTTTATTTTCTTGGTAATTTGTGTGGTCAATGAGAGAGTATTTAAAGCTTTCTCATGCAATGTACATAACTAAGTGAAAAAATGCTTTTGGAGAAATTAATGTTACTTTCATTTTTATGAGACTGCAGATTTTCAGCATGGATGTGAAAAGCATTAAAATTATAACTTTGTGTACAAGATGAAAATAATTCACTAAATTTGCCTTTTTTACACAAAATAAAAATGATAAAAAGTCTTTCTGAATACTGATTGTTTTGTTCAAAAGGCACTCCTTTGGCACACACATAAATGCACTTCAGCTTCTTTCCTAAGACAATGCAGATTTAAAAAAACAAAAAGAAAAGTATGTAAAACTATGAATGTTTTAAGTAACTGGGTGCTTAGTCTGAGCACAAATAAAGCAGGAGAGGCTCTGAGCACAAGGTAAGGTTTTTTTAATATGAGAAGAAGGTGGCATTAATAAGCATTTAATAGAGAGCAAGGCCTCCTGTTTCACAGTTGGTGTCAACAGTTGTGCAGGGAGGGGAACTTTTTCACAGGGTATTATCACGTTTTCCTTCTAGTTCAGTTCTGCTATGTTGGAAGCAGCTCAGCCATCCCTTCAACTCTGCCTCTGCATATTGGCTTTACAACTTACTGCAGTTGCCTTCAAAGCAGCTTTGCAATGAACAAACGTCACTGATTTTTTTTCTGATGTTGCCTCTACATGGCAGTTAAACTGTTCCTTCTAAAAGAGCAAAGTATTGAACTGAGTAAAATGACTTCTGTGAATATTTGAATACAGTAGGCTTGTTTTATAGTAAACGCACCACAACAAATTAGTTCGTATCATCCATTTATTTGACAGTGCTGAAAAATGACTAAGATAACCGTGGTGATAATTGCTCCCAGGTCAGTAGCTGGAATGAGATGATCTGTTACAAAGGCACAATTCATTGTGGAAACTCATTTCACTCATAGATCCAATCATGTGCACAAGATTTGAAGTCAATGAGCTCCGCAGGTTTGAACCACAGGTTGATCTCCTTCTGTGCGCTTTCTACAGAGTCACTGCCGTGAATGATGTTTCTGCGGAAGGAGACAAACACGATGTTTCATATAAAAATACACCTTCAGCAACCTCATAGTTCTGCATGTGCAAAAAACTGGATGAAGCATCTAGAGCTGAGACTACTATTTGGGGTACAGTATTCAAATACCCCCACTCTAAGAACTAATTAAGCCTAGCAGAGGTGACGGGGCTACGTTACTACAACAGCCACTGCCTGATCTTACATGACGCTCTGATGAGTAGCTGTGTTTCAAAAAAAGTCAATTTTGTACCAAGCCATTTTCTTAAGCAGCAGTTATGGATTGTGACCTGCAAGTAAAATACCGTCAGACTAGCATGTCTAACAAGAACTTTGACTTCCTAAAGTAAGTTTTTAATCTTGATTGATTAACTGAGCACAAACCTTCCTACTTGAATGCAGAAGTCACCACGGATGGTACCAGGCTTGGAGTCTGCAGGGTTTGTTTCCCCTAGCATTACTCTCCCGGTTTTAACCACGTTGAGTCCTTCCCATACCTTAAGGAAAAAAAGATACATCAAAGATTAGTGAAGAGTACGAGACTACTTTGCTAAGAAACAAGGGTTCCACTAATGAAAAAAAAAAAATTAGCCTAGCCTAGATTCTTTTAGGCCTGTAAAGAAGACTAGGGAAAAACGCACATAAACTGGAAGGGATTATAAGAAGGACTATCAACACTGTCACTCTGGTAAAGATGCTGCTTTGCCAAGCCTGAGCGTTCACTGATGTACGAGACCAATTTCAACACCTTTCTGTAGTGACAGGGTGAGGACAGCCTGAGGAGCTGCAGGCACTCCTAGTTTGGTACACAGGCAAGACAAAGGAGATGCTACTACAGCAATTTTACTGGTGCAAAAAAGAATGTCACAGAAGATGGGTTTCCATGGGACAGTGCTGACCCTTTTTTGCCCAAAGCAAAAGCTTTCAGGAATTTTGCTTAATCCACGCTACCTATTTTAATATGTATTCTATACATGCACATTTTCTTTGTTAATAAATAGTAGCTTCTTACTTGATTGTCTTTATTATAATTTTGGTTTTCTTCTGCCACTATCAGAACTGGGTAGTTTGAAAGTGTTTCTGTAACACTATCTCTGAATACTTCAAATAATTTAGAGAGCAAGACAAATATATACAAGAAAGTAATTTTTAAGTAAAATCAAGCTGCTTACCATGGCCACAACAGGTCCAGAGTGCATGTATTTAACCAAACCAGGGTAGAATGGTCGGTCTTTCAGGTCAATGTAATGTTGTTTGAGAAGGTCTTCAGAGGCCTTTAAAATGACAGATTTAACATTAAATATCGCCTTCCAAATACCACACCACAAACGGTGTTACTCCTGTAAGACCACAGCATTAGTGACTGGATTTACCAGTTAATACTCTTCACAGTTGCTGCAATGCTGTTGTGGGTTTCAGTGGGAATTCCTAGTGTAAAATTAAAGGCGTGCACAACACACCATCTTTCCTTGTACGAGTTGTCAAAATTATTTCTTTGCATTAGAGTAATCCTCAGCAATAAGCTGAACACAAGATGTCCGGATGATGTTACCCGATACAACTGCTCTGTCAAGGTCATTTCAGCTCTCAATTAGGCTGCATTTAAGCCGTCTGAGCAAATTTTGTTTCCACAGGAAAGGGGAGAGATCAAACGTTCGTGCTCGACAGACGGCTGGGCCTCATCCAGCAGCGCCAGCTGTGGGGCAAGTGCGGCACCGCCCCCCCGCCGGTGCGGAGGGGCCGCAGCGGGAGATGCACAGCGACCCTGAAGCCCCTGCTGCGGCCGGTGCGGGGAAGCGTTTCCCCAGAGCCGGCGCAGGGGCGCCCCGCGGAGCCGTACCTGCAGGAACTTCATGGCCACCAGCCGGAAGCCCCTCTGCTCGAACCGCT